GCGGCCCTGGGTTCCCAGGCCCAGGGCCCCGGAGCCCAGCCTCACCTTGCGCACAGACACACGGAACACGCAAGGGTCCAGCAGGCCCGTGGCTGGGTTGGCGCTCATCTTACACACGAAGGTGAACCTCTTCCGCCAGCGCACGCAGTTCTCCTGTACCTCCTCCCTGCAGACCAGGCCAGACAGTGAGTGTGAGACAGCTGGGCAGGGTCCACACTAGGGGGCCTGTACCAGCGGAGGGAGAGAACCCTCACTTCCCACTTTGTATCACAAGTGACGGTATTTTCACAAGAATTGCCAGGCTCCTGCTGGCCACCTCCCGTGGCCCACATCAGACTTCCAGGCTTTCGCCAGGGGAACACCCCAGGTGAACTGGCCCTCAGCCTGGTCCTGCCAGCCCCTCTTCACCACTGGTAACAGCAGCAGCAACATCCAACGACTACCCCTGTGGGCCGCTGCTCATGTGGCGTGCCTGGCACTGTCCAGAAAACTGAGAAGCCATGGCCGCGGGCGGGGGCTCAGCTAAGTGGCAGAGCTCCTGCCTAGCACAGGTGAGGCCCTGGGTTCGAGCATTCACGTCACATCAAAATAAAATAGAGGCAGGCTGCTCATCCACAACTGCAAAACAAAAAGGCCACGGTCACTGTGCCTGCCTGGAGTGCAGACAGGCCCAACTCTCCTGACCACTATCAGCCGACTCCAGGACCCAGGTGCCCCAGAGCTGTGACCCCCTCCAGAGGCCCAGCGCCGACAAGAGCAGAGCAGAACGGAACACAAGCCACCCAGCTCTAGGTCCCCGGCTTCCCGGAACTGACTGGGGTTTGGCCGTCCCCCGAGTCCCTCCTAGGCCCAGGAGCACAGCCACACAGGCAGACCCAGCACCCTTTACTGGGGAATCAGAGCGATGGGAGCCACTGAGCCGAGCTGGGCCAGCTGCTGTGGGGGCAGCAGGAGCCCGTGAGCCTGCCTGGCCTCATCCCATCCACCCGGCAGAACCTGTGCTCAGGAAAGGGTGGCTGCGGAAGGGTGGGGGTGGGGTGAGAGACCATATCTCGGCTCATCCCACCTAACCGGATGGCCAAGCAGACAGCTGAGGAAGTGACCTCTCTGCACCCTGGGTGACCCGAGGAGCTCAGGTTAGCCACCTGATGGGGCCTGAGGGTGGAGAGTCAGCGCGGCAGAGAGGCATCCTCTGAGCCCCGAGCTTGCTCTGAGGGCACTAAGGCCCCCACCCAAGATCACAGCCCCGAGACCGACAGGCAGAGGGGCAGGGCTAGAACCAGGAATTGGCTCATAGGCCCAGAGCCCAGGAGAGCCAGGTGGGCAGGCCCCACAGGCTCATGGGGCCAACAGTACCCTGCTATGTCCCTGAGACACCCAGCCACGTCCATCTGGAAACTGGCTCATAATTCCTCAAAAGGTTGAACACAGAGTCACCAATTGATCCAACAATTCCACTCCTAGGTACACAGCAACAGAAATGAAACCCATGTCCACAAAGACTAGCACATAAGTGGCCACAGCAGCCAAAAAGAGAAAGCAATCCAGATGGCCATCAGTAGGCGAACGGATAAATAACTCGTGGTCCAGTCACATGATGGAATATTAGTGGGCAATAAAGAGAAATGAAGCACGTCACATGCTGCACCGCTGTTACCCTTGGAAACGTCAACAGTGAATGGCTAGAGCAGACACAGGGGCAACAGCACAAGGTCTCATTTCTGTGAGATGCCTAGAGGGTAAATCCATGGCAGAAAGGAAACTGGGGGTTGCCAGGGCTTGGAGAGTTGGGGAGATGAGTGACAGTTAATGGACATAGGGTTTCTTGACGGAGTGACGAAAAGGTTCTGTGAATGACATAGTGATGACGGCATAACCTGTGAATGTTAAAAACCACTGAAAGGCTGGGGATTCAGCTCAGTTGGTAGAGTGCTTGCCTCGCATGCACAAGGCCCTGGGTTCAGTCCCCAGCAGCATAAAAAAAACCCCACATATGCATACCTGTAATCCAGAGACTCAGGAGGCTGAGGCAAGAGGATCACAAGCCTCAGCAATTTAGTGAGGCCCTAAATAAAAAATAAAAAGGGCTGGGGATGTGGCTCAGTGGTTAAGCACCCCTGGGCTCAATCCCTAGTGCCAAAAAAACAAAAACAAAAACACCACTGGACTGCAGGCTGGGAATGGCATGCCTGAGGCCCCGGGTTCACCCCAGCACCCGAAACAAAATCAAAAACCCCCACTGGGTTATGCGCTTTAAATGGGTGAATTGTATGGTGTGTGGATTATCTCTCAACAGAACTGTTCCCCTACCCCTAAAAATATATATGGTGGGTCAAGTAGAAACAGGGAGGACAGTACAGGGAAGGTGGGTGCTGGGCAGAAATTCAAGGTAGTGGCTGCTACTTCAGGTAGGTGGCTGGTGATGGCCTTTATGGCAGTGACGTTCGAGCAAGGCCCACAGTGAGGGAGGGTGTGAGTGTGAACAGCAAGTACAAAGGCCCTGAGGTAGAAACAAGCACAGAAGCAGGCAGCTGGAGAGAGGCCAGCAGGGAGACGGGTAAGGGAGAATGGGGTGAGGTCCTACTGGACCTCCAGGGTCACAGTGAGGACGCAGGATCTCATTGGAAGTGACTACTTGCCCCATGGACTATGGCTTAGGCTGAGGCTGAGAGCAGACACAGAAGGGAGGCAGAGGAGCAAAGACAGAACAGAGCCGAAGAGGCCAAGCTCAAGCCTGAAGAGAGGGAGGCGGGAGTGGCCAGCTCAGGCAGACCTCAGGCCTCACCCACCCTGCGGGCAGTGCTGGAGGCTGTTCAAACAGCCAGGGGAGGTGAGGTAGTGCTCAGACGTCCACTGCCATGGGAACGCCAGGTCAGGAGGCCCCAGGCCCATGTGTGGTTCCTGTCAGCCCTTCCAGGTCAGGCCTGGGAAAGCCACAGGGAGACCTTCCAGGCTCAGGTGACAGGCGTGTCCCCTCCTTCTGCAGGAAGGTGAGCCTGGGTAGGGCCACAGGATTAGTGTGGGGCCTCTGTCCTGACTCTAAACAATGGCCTATTAGATGCCACCACTCCCACGGGAAGAAAACTTGGCAGCCTCACCCTGGCCCACCCCGGGGTCACAGCAAGGTAAGATAAATGCCACAGAGGCGGCCCCTTCCTGGAGGCCTACTGTGCCCCCCGCCCCCCACTTCAACGACAGGTGACTCTTCCTGGCCCAAGTTTCACATGAGGAAAGGGAGGCGCCAATGCTCCGCAGCCCACCCCAAATCCCAGAGCTGTGGGCAACAGAGCCATCTGGACCCCAGCCCATCTTTGCCCAGGGCCTGGGTCACAGCCCTAAAGCCACAGCTGCCACCAGGACAGCACAGGCTCCCATCAGACCCAGGGTCCCTGCAGAGGGAGGGAGCTGGCCAGGTCGGGCTGAGGAAGCCTGAGACCTGATTCACTCAGAACCTTTTATGAAGCACCCACTGCATGCCAGGCACCCAAAACCCTAAGACACAAGTAGTAAACAGCAGGCAGAGTCTTGCCTTCACGCGCTGGCACATGCCCAAGGGTGGCAAGTGCCATGGGGGAAGGGAACTTGGAACAGAAGTGGGCAGTGCCCAGGCAAGGGGGACATGAGAGAAGGTGGCCAGGGAAGGTCTGAGCAGGAACATCACGGCGGAGCCCAGAGCTGCAGTGAGACCGGGAAAGCAATCCTGGCTGAGGAACAGGAGTGCAAAGGCCCTCAGGCAGGACGCCTGCTGCCACTGTGGAGCCGTGAGGGGCCTGAGTGGCCTGAGTGGCTGGTACAGAGGGAGCAAGGGACAGAGGGGTGGGAAAGGAGATCCGAGGGGGGGCTCAATCCCAATCTTACAAAGGGACCGTGTGAAGGCACTGGGAACCGGGAGCACCGCCTGTGCAGCAGTGGCCACAGATGGAGGGTTCACGTTCACATCTGAGGAAAAAGCCAAACATGCAACAGGGGACTGACCACTCAGCGGGGTCAAGTGAGCAAGTGCCAGAAAGAAGGGGGAGGAGGGTGGCGGTCTGCTCACCAACAGGGAAGGACAGCCATCGCAGTTCAAACAAAATGCAGAAGCGTCCCACATTTTTTAAGTGACAGTACAAATGTCCATGTGCACAGAGAAAACTGGAGATGTCCACATGGCACTGCATAGACTCGGCCTGCCCGGAACACTGTTGGCCAGGCACAGTGGCACCCAACATGTGTCCCCAGTGAGGGGGGTGGTGGTGGTGGGGGGTGCAGTGAGCTCACTAGCTTGGAAAGAGCGAAGGTGTGAAATAACTAAGCAAATGAGGAGCTGTGGAGAAAACTCAGTAATAAGACGGTTATTAGGAAAAACAAGCCAGTGTGCATCCCCCTGCCTGCCCTACTAATGGGGCTCAGAAATGCAAATTTTTTTTCTTTTTTCTTTTTTTTGGGAGATGGATGGGATCAGAGATTGAACCCAGGGACACTTAACTGCTGAGCCATATCCCCAGCCCTTTTTATTTTGAGACAGGGTCTCATTAAGTTGCTTAAGGCCTTGCTAAGTTGCTGAGGTTGGCCTTGAACTTGCAATCCTCCTGCCTTAGCCTCCTGGGTGGCTGGGATTACAGGTGTGTGCCACACGTCCAGCCAGAAATGCAATTTTAAAATGACAAAATCTCAGGTTGCACAAGGCCCTGGATTCAATCCTAGTACTAAATAAATGAGTAAAATAAAATGACAAAACCAAAGCCCAGAGGAAGAGATCATTTCGGCCCAGGGAGGCCCAGAACCCTGGACTCCTGGCTCCCCAGACATAGCTTATTGACACTGGTGTAAGGGGACAAAGGACAGAAGGAAGGTGGCAGCTCATCAGGTCTGTGGTGCAGGTGAGGGATGCCACCTTCGTTTGGTCCCAAGAGTTGTGCCCAGTTAATTGAATTTAAATTGAAAAAGAAGACGATAGGATGAGGGTAGGAAGGCAGGGTATAAGCAAAGCGTGAAGTACCAGCAGCCTGAGTCCTGGGCCACCCCCTGCCGAGGCACTGCCAGTTGGCCCCACCAGTCAGGGTTTAGGGCGTGCTTCCCAGTTCCCACAGCTGGGGACAGGTAATTAGAGAGACTGGTTTCTTTTTTAGCTATAAGACACACAATTAGACGTGCAAATCCCAGCAAGACAGGGCGAGCCCTCCC